AAAGTACCTATCAATATAGCTTTAACAAGCGCTGTGCAATTTTTTTTGAATACATAATCATTTACTACTTGTTTGTTATAGAATACACAAGATAAAATACAAATAGCAAACAAATTTTTTTCCTTGTTTTGATGTAAGCATTATACAAGATATCCACATAGTGAAAACATTTCTATCACCTTAATATTTTGAGTAAAAAGTAATAAAAATATCCAAAGAAATTCTTTTCATTCTAGGGTTATATTCTCTGAACCCACTTCCTAGTACTTCTGCTTCGCAATGATCAGTTTAGCCAAGCCTAGAACATAACTCTTTTCTACCTCCAAAGGTCAGGGTAAAAAACTAGAGTGTACATCACTCTCCTTCTCTCCTCCTACTTCACTGGGCTTCTGCCTTGGAGAAGTTAAGGAGCTGATCTAGTCTGCTTCCTCTCACTGTGCCTCTCCACTGCCTGGGTCACTACTGTGAAGTATTAAGAGGTCCCAGAGGTAACAGAAGCAGAATCCTGGAAGGCTTTAATATAAGAAAACTGTCCTGGAGGCAGCCAGAAGCTAGCCACCTTCTCTGACTGCTGTGGCTCCACCTGTAGCAAATTACCCACTGGCTGAGGTGCACTGGTCCTGCACTCAGGTGCCACTCACCCCTTTCTCAGGAGCATTTCATCTTTCTACATAAGGCTTCTAGCTCTCCCCATTCTTGTGCTCTTCAGTCCATTTTCTACAGCAGTCCCTCACACTCACGTATTTGCTGAAAGCTTCCAATGGCTCTCCAGTCACCTTATGATGAAGTCCAACTTCTTACACTGCCACCAGTAGTAAGGCCATGGCTGAGGTCCTCTTATTTAGCATCTGTGTCACCTGCCACTTCTCCCGTTTACTGCCTACAATAGACTCATCCCGTGCTACTCACACCTTTGTGAGTGGGCTTGTCTTTCTCCTTCTGTGCACTGGGCTATTTCATGTATATTCTGTGCCAGGAATCCTCTTTCTCATTTCCAATTGTTTATCTCTTTTATACTGTTGGGTTTCAGTTTAAACATTGCCTCCACTCAGAAATCTTTAAACACACACTGTCAACTTCCCCATTAAGTCAGCTCTGAAAATTATACTTCCTCGCATTATTTGTAATGCTGTGTTTATTGGTATGATTATATGAAGAATGCCTGTGTCCTCCACTAGACAATAACCTCGTTGAGGGCGGAAACTTTATCTCGTTTATTTTATCTCAGCACCTAACCCAGATTCTTGCTCGGACTATAGATATAATAAGCATTAGTTGCACAAATGCTGAATTTTCAGAAATCTCTGTAATCAGTGCTGATATTTGTAAGTTTACAGACCCTGTCCCCTCCTAACCAACCTGATAAATATGTTTGATATTTAATCTGAATGTGAATTTACAGCTAATAAAACGTGCTTTCATGCTGGAAAAAAAAAAAAATGATGAGTGAGTGTTCTTTGGCACCTGCTGGATGGAGGTGGAGCTATCTCACAGCATTGGTGGAGGGGCCTGGGGCCCAGGATAGAGATCTGAGCTGGAGAGAGAAATTTGAGATGTATAGGGCATTGCTGAGTGGGCATGGAGTGTACCCTACATGGGATTATCCCTCCTGTATTTTCTGGTTAGAACATAGTACGTGTTCATTGTAGGAAATCAGAAAATCTAGAAAGATATTCATTTATGGATATAGATTGAAAATTACCCGTAATCCTGTCACCCAAAGATTCTGAGCCTATCTCTTTCCTCCACATTTTCTATATGCAGATTGAGATTATATTGAATATAATGTAGTGATGGCTTCACAAATGTCTACACATGTCAAGGGCATCAAATGATTCACTTTTAACATATGCACTCAGTCACATCTCAACTATTTTTTAAATTAATTAAGTTCCGCTCAGGAGTAGCTGAGGGGAACTGGGTACATTTGGGAGTGTGCCAGGGCAGAGAAGAGGCCTGAGAAGTCCACCTGTCTAGCCATCACTCACTCAAGGCAAAGTGAAGTCAGTGCCTGATGCAACAACAGAGGCAGAAGAGAGAAAACACAGAGACCAAGAAAGGAAGGAAGTGTCAGAGGATCAGTCACTTCCCTCCTGTCACTTGTAAGAGCCCACAGAAAATTTAAGGCAATGTTGCAAGAGAAATGCCCTGGGCTGTTGAGAGTCCCAGACAACTTGGTGAGATCAGGGCTGCCTCTGTGTCCTGTACCCTTGTGGTCTGGGTGCTTGAGGTTGGTGCTGCCCTGAGCCTGGGTCATAACTCAGTTGAAGGAAGTAGGGAGTTTCCTGAGCTCTGTGCTAACTGCTTTATGCTCTCGTTCAGTGGTCTAGACAAACCTGTGAAATGGTGTCATAATGTGGTTATGTTCTCGAACCATGGAGTTAGACAGACGTTCAGGCCTGACACCCAGCCCCACCACTTATTAGCTGTGTACTTTTTGGTTACTTACCTCTCTGAATCTCAGTTCTCTTGTCCAATGGAGGTGATAATAATACTTGCTTCATTAGTCTGTTGTGAGGATTAAATAAATAAAATGTGTTATAATGTTTAGCTCAGAACTTGACCTGTGGCCCACCCAGTGTTTGTCATGGATACACATATATTGTGGATATGAACATATCCTCTTTGGTAAACTGGTTTACCAAGTTTATCCTTCCAGAACAAGGCTTCATGACTACCACCCCCACGCTGGTTAGGCCTTTTACACCTGGACTTAAACCTACACAATAAAATGGTCTATGAACTTCTCCTAGAAAACTTAAT